CCTCTGCCTGTCATTTTTTTTTCGATTAGTGGTACTATGCGTGCAAGCTACTGTGACAACAGATATGAGTGGCACTGTGCAGTGGCAGAAGTTGGCAGAGTAGACGCTGTAGGCCTGACATACACAACTAACTGCTATTCAATCTATTACAGTCAAAATTGTATTTTTTTTAAAAATGTACACTACTGTTACACCAGATATGAGTTGCACTGGTGTGACACTGTGCCCTGGCAGGCCGTGAAACGCACACTCGTGAAGAAAACTGACTGCTATTATATTACAGTCCAAAAAGTTTTGATTTTTTTTAAATGCAAGCTATTGGGACACCAGTGAGTGAGTGGTGGCACTGGGCAGGCCCTGAAACGCACACTCGTGAAGGAAACTGACTGCTATTATATTACAGTCAAAAAAGTTTTTTTTTTTAAATGCAAGCTATTGCGACACCAGTGAGTGAGTGGTGGCACTGGGCAAGTGGGCACAGTATATGCTGTGAGCCTGACACACAGGCTGGCAGGCAGGCAACTGCAATTACATTACACAGAAAAAAAAGCAGACTGATGTTCTAGCCCTAAAAAGGGCTTTTTGGGGTGCTGTCCTTACAGCAGAGATCAGATGAGTCCTTCAGGACTGTAGTGGACACACTAGCCTAGCTATCAATTTCCCTATCAAATCAGCAGCAGCTACACTGTCCCTCCTCTCACTATGAATGTAAAATGGATGCTGTCCAGGAGGTGGGAGGGTCTGGGAGGGAGGGTCTGCTTCTGATTGGCTGGGATGTGTCTGCTGACTGTGAGGTACAGGGTCAAAGTTTACTCAATGATGATGAATAGTTGGCGGACCGAACAGCGCATATGTCCGTGGCGAATGCGAACAAGCGATGTTCGCCAGGAACTATTCGCTGGTGAACCGTTTGGGACATCACTGGTCTTAAATTAGAGGGGCAAAGGTTTAAAATTAATTTCAGGAAGTATTACTTTACAGATAGGGTAGTGCACACATGAAATAGCTTTCCAGCTAAAGTGGTAGAGGTGAGGGAGTTTAAGCATGTGTGGGATAGGCATAAGACTATCCTAGACTTAAGATAAGGCCAGGGACTAATTAAAAGTATTTAGAAAATTGGGTAGACTTAATGGGCAGAATGGTTCTTATCTGCTGACACATTCTATATTCTATTTTCAAATACATAAAGCAGAAAATAAATGCTTGAATTTGACTAAAGTTATAAGTTACATAAATGAAAATAAATGAAAATATTTTAAGTAGTCCGATATTTAAATTACATAGACAATTCAGTCTTTCTTATCTTGCTCTACACTTAGCATTAATCTCACACAACATTTATCTTTCTTCTACCCATGCTTAACGCTAAATCTCTACATTTCTCTTTTACTCAGAAACACTTTCCTTGACATGACTTAATCTATGCCATCCGCATCTCTGCATCTCCTGTGTTCAACAACTCTCATTATGTCCAGCTACCCGCTGATTACCCCGGTTTAGCAGATATATGTTTCTGTAATGGAAAGGTTAATAACATAAGAGTGCATACCTGAGATTTATCAGTATTTCTCATATACCTGTGACAGAAAATATTAAACATTAATAATTTATAAGTAAACTAGAGACTTGGCAGACAAGAGTGACTCATTACTCTGCAGGTCAGTCTGTGACGAGAGATTAATTTATTTCAATCTGGTTTTTCTCTGAATCTGATAAGGTGAATCACCCCCGATATGCTTCTGGTAAGTATTATGCTTGTTCTTATTTGCAATACACATTTCAATACTCTACATGCAATATGTAATATTATTATCTATTTCATATGCTGCCAATATGTATTTTAGTTTTGTGACAATTGTGAATCTCTATATGGTAAAGAGTATTTTTTGTCTGAATTTTGAAGTATTGGGTGTGCGATCAAATTGAGATGCACCCAAATCACAAACTGACCAAAATGCACAATGGCTGAACATATCCATTTCAGTTTGTGATTCTGAATTCTGCCCATGAAAAAAAAAGATAATTTGCTAATTAGGGGACAGCCACCTAATGGGTTTTTTTGAAGAAAAATGCACACTAAAGGTAAAAAAGGAGGAGCAGTAAAAACATTTTATATATTTTTATATTGCATATATTTAAATGGATGCTATAGACACCAAAACAACTTTAGCTTAATGAGTCAGTTTTGATGTATAGATCATACCCTTGCAGTCTCACTGATCAATTATCTGCTATTCATGAGTTAAATCACTTTGTTTATACAGCCCTAGTTACACCTCTCTACTTGTTATTTCAGCCTTCCTAAACACTTCCTGAAAAGAAATCTAGATACATTAGGTTCCTTTATCGCACAGCCTGTTTAATGTAGATTTTCTTATCTTCTGCTTTGTCAATAGCCTTCCAGACCCTGCAGGAGCCTCCTGTGTTTGATTAAAGTTCAATTTACAGAGCAGGAGATATAAAACTTATAAAGCAAGTTAACATCTGATTGAAAATGAAACCAATTTTTCATGCAGATTGTGTGAATCTCAGCCAAGGAAGGTGAGGCTAGGGCTACATAACAAAAAAAAATGTTTAACTCTAAATGGCATCTATACCCTAAAACTGCTTCATTAAAGGGACACTAAAGCCACCCAGACCACTTCAACTGATTGAATTAGTTTGGCTGCACTGCCTCTGTTCCCTTAACCATGCTATCTAAAAACTTTGCAGTTTCAGAAAAAAACCTACAATGTTTATATTGCAAGGTTAAGAGTGCCTCTAGTGACCTACCAGACAGCCACTAGAGACACTTTCTGCTGTTTTATGGAGTTTGATATGTAGTGCATGAGGACATCCAGCATCTTCAAATTTCCCATTGGAAACCATTGTTCTCATACATGAAATGTTGTGTCATATGTAAAATAACTTGCAATATTTCCAGGTTAGAGATAAACAAAATATATATATAATTAAACAGATGTCTTGATTTCTCCATATGTGGACATGAATAGCATTTATTTAGCATAACAAAATCTGCAGCCTCAATTACTGTTGAATATAAGGTTAAAAAACTGATAATCTAGAAAAAAAAAAGGGCAATTTAAGTATGATGTGCAGTCAGAATAGTAGGTCAACTACCATAAATGCAAGATTGTATCCATCATATAGTCAATAGAGAATAAAATTGTGGCTTGTTTTATGAAATGAAACACCGACATGGTGTGTCTTAAATGGTAGATTAAAATGAGAACAAAGCTGGACAGTATGAGAATGCATAAATAAACAAATATTTCAGAATCAGAAAATAAATTGTTGAGACAATGTGCAATTATGTATAAAAAATGGAATGTTCATGTTCTGGTTTTGTGTATATATTAACCCCCTAAGTACCGAGGCAATTGTAGAAGTTCTGATCAAATCAAAATGTAAACAAAACCTTGAATTTGCGCTATATCAGTTCAAATGTAATTCACCTCCGTCATATTAAGTGCACCCACACTTGTTATATATAATTTTGTTCAGGAGAAACAGGGCTTTCATTCCTCATCTTCATATTATAAGATTTGGAATGTTTTTTGTCTGTTGGTGCCAGGAACAAAAGGTGGCAATTAATCCTCCATTCTTTTCATCTGTGCTGGATTTCCTTTAAACTAGCCTCAATAAGGGCCTAAGCTACAATCAGGGGCGGACTGAGAGCCTTTGGGGCCCCCGGGCAAAATTAGATCCCAGGCCCTTTGAAGGCCAAATATACATGCATTAAATAAATGTTAAATATAACTCATAATACGGCATTCCTTTGGATGTGTATATTGTGAAGACCTGTGTATCAATGCATGTTTGTATTTGAGTCTGTGTGAATGCACTTGTGCATGTCTGGATGACTACATATGCTTTTTTGTATATAGTGTCTATGTGAATGCATATGTGACAGGTGACAGAGTGTATGAGGGAGAAGGTGACAGGTGGAAGAGTGTGGGAGGTTGTGACAGGTGGCAGAGTGAGGGGGTACCTGGTGGCAGAGAGAGGGAAGGAGGGGTTGAGTGGTGGCAGAGTGAGGGGGAGACACAGTGAGTGGGGGTGACTGGTGACAGAGTGAGGGGGTGGGTGACTAGTGACAGAGTTAGGGAGGGGTTAATGGTGGCAGAGTGGGGAAGGGAGAGAAGAGATGACGAGTGGCAAAGTGAGGGAGGGAAGAGGTGACTAGTGCCAGAGTGAGGGGATAACTGGTGACAGAGGGAGGGAATGACTAGTGACAGAGGGAGGGAGGGCGTGACTGTCACTAGTCACCGCATCACTCTCTCTGTCACTAGTCACTCCCTCCCTAACTCTGTCACTGTGAAGGAAGGAAGGGGTGACTGGTGACAGAGTGAGGGGATGACTAGTGGCAGAGTGAGGGAAGGAAGGATGACTGGTGACAGAGTGAGAGAGGGGGTGACTAGTGACAGAGTGAGGAAGGGAGTGGGTGACTAGTGACAGAGTGAGGAAAGGGGTGACACAGTGACATAGTGAGGGAGGGGGTGACACAGTGACAGAGTGAAGGAGGTGGTGACTGTCACTAGTCACCCCATCCCTCACTCTGTCACTAATCACCCCCTCCCTCACTCTGTCACTAGTCACCCCCTCCCTCACTCTGTCACTAGAGTGAGGGGGTGACTAGTGACAGAGTGAGGGGGTGACGGGTGACAGGTGACAGAGTGAGGAAAGGGGTTACTAGTGACAGAGTGAGGGGATGACTGGTGACAGAGTGAGGGAGGGAGTGGGTGACCAGTGACAGAGGGAGGGGGTGACACAGTGACAGAGTGAGGGAGGGGGTGACACAGTGACAGAGTGAGGGAGGGGGTGACTAGTGACAGAGTGAGGGAGGTGGTAACTGTCACTAGTCACTAGTCACCACCTCCCTCACTCTGTCCCTAGTCACCCCTCCCTCTGTCACTAGTCACCCCCTTCCTCACTCTGTAACTAGTCACCCCTTCCCTCCCTAACTCTGTCACTAGTCACCCCCTCCCTCACTCTGTCACTAGAGTGAGGGGGTGACTAGTGGCAGAGTGAGGGAAGGAAGGGGTGACTAGTGACAGAGTGAGGGAGGTGGTGACTGTCACTAGTCACCACCTCCCTCACTCTGTCACTAGTCACCACCTCCCTCACTCTGTCACTACTCCCTCCCTCCTTCTGTCACTAGTCACCCCCTCCATCCCTTACTCTGTCACTAGTCACCCCCTCCCTCACTCAGTCACCAGTCATCCCCTCCCTCTGTCACCTGTCATGCCCTCACTTTGTCACTAGTCACCCCCTCACTCTAGTGACAGAGTGAGGGAGGGTGGGACTAGTGACAGTAAGGAAGGGGATGACTAGTGACAGAGTGAGAGAGGGGGTGACTAGTGACAGAGTGAGGGAGGGAGTGGGTGACTAGTGACAGAGTGAGGAAGGGGGTGACACAATGACAGAGTGAGGGAGGGGGTGACTAGTGACAGAGTGAAGGAAGTGGTCACTGTCACTAGTCACCTCATCCCTCACTCTGTCACTAGTCACCCCCCCCTCTCTCTCTGTCACTAGTCACCCCCTCCCTCTCTCTGTCACTAGTCACCCCCTCCCTCTCTCTGTCACTAGTCACACCGTCCCTCACTCTGTCACTAGAGTGAGGGGGTGACTAGTGACAGAGTGAGGGGGTGACAAGTGACAGAGTGAGGGAAGGGGTGACTAGTGGCAGAGTGAGGGAAGGAAGGGGTGACTAGTGACAGAGTGAGGGGATGACTGGTGACAGAGAGGGAGGTGGTGACTGTCACTAGTCACCCCATCCCACCCTCTGTCACTAGTCACTCCCTCCCTAACTCTGTCACTAGTCATCCCTTCACTCTGTCACTAGTCACCCCCTCCCTCTGTCATTGTGTCACCCCATCCCTCCCTCTGTCACTGTGTCACTCCATCCCTCCCTCTGTCACTAGTCACTCACTCTAGTGACAGAGGGGGGAGAGGGTGACTAGTGACAAAGTGAGGGAGGGGGTGACTAGTGACAGAGTGAGGGAGGGAAGGGGTGACAGAGTGAGTGAGGGAGGGGGTGACTAGTGACAGAGTGAGGGAGGGGGTTACTAGTGACACAGTGGGGGGGTGACTAGTGACAGAGTGAGGGAGGGGGCTACTAGTGACAGAGTGAGGGAGGGGGCTACTAGTGACACAGTGAGGGAGGGGGCTACTAGTGACACAGTGAAGGGGGTGACTAGTGACACAGTG